AACCTGCTCATGTTGCTTCAGCTGCTGCTGTTTCGTCGCAGCTCAAGGCAGCACGGGATGAGGCCCCCTGCTGCTGCTGCTGCTGCTGCTGTTGCTGCTGCTGTTTGCTGCGTGTGCTTGTGGTTTGTTGCAGCAGCAGCTCCTGCTGCTGCAACTGCAGCAGCAGCAACAGCAGCACTAGGCGGTACGCTTGCTGCTGCAGCAGAAACAAACAGCAGCAGCTGCTGCAGCGGCTGGCTGCTGCTGCAGCCGTCTTCGTTTTGCTGCCGCTCGCGGAGCGGTGCAGCAGCAGCAGCAGCAACAGCAGCAGCAGCAGCAGCAGCCAGAGAAGATTGCTGCCTCAACTCGCCGCTGCACGCGCCACTATCTGTGCTGCAGCAGCTGCAGCAGCAGCAGCAGCAGCAACAGCAGCAGCAGCAGCAGCAGCAGCAGCAGCAGCAATTTCGTCTGTATGCACATCACCCGCAGAAGAAGGGAGCCAAACACTGGAATAGAACACGCCCCAAAAAAGTATACTACTTGCTGCTGCTGCTGCTGCTGCTGCTGCTGCTGCTGCTGCTGCTGCTGCTGGTGTTGCTGCTGGTGTTGCTGTTGCTTTTGCTGCCGTTGCTGCTGTTGCTGCTGCTGCTGCTGCTTCCTGTCTCCTTGTCCGTCCTTTCGCATGAACACTCTAGTGTCTACCATCTAGGGTTTAGGGTTTAGGGTTTAGGGTTTAGGGTTTAGGGTTTAGGGTTTTGCAGACGCGGCCTTCTTCAATAAACAGCAAACCCACCCCCAACCAAAAGGACCCAACCACCTTCGCCAATGCACCGCCAGAGTATCTCGCTATACCCGTGAGGGTTTAGGGTTTAGGGTTTAGGGTTTAGGGTTTAAGGGTTTAGGGTTTAGGGGTGGTGGGTTGGGGGTTTAGGGTTTAGCGGTTGTGGGTTGAGGGTTTAGGGTTTGTGGGTTGAGGGTTTAGGGTTTTAGGGTTTAGGGTTTAGGGTTTTAGGGTTTAGGGTTTAGGGTTTTAGGGTTTAGGGTTTAGGTTTTTAGGGTTTAGGGTTTAGGGTTTGTGGTGTTGTTTAGGATGAGGAGGGTTTGAAGGCGTTGAGTGCTGCGCCGCTGCAGAAGCTGCTGCTGCTGCTGCAGCAGCAGCAGCAGCAGTGCAGCAAAGACAGCAGCAGCTTGCTGCGGGCCCCTGTAGCATGCGAGGTGCGGATGCCTCGGTATACAGCAGCAGCAGCAGCAGCAGTTGCTGCTGCTGTTGCTGCTTCAAGCCCTGGGGAAGCAGCAGCAGCAGCAGCAGCAGCAACAGAAGCAGTAGCACCAGCACTAGCAGAAGAAGCAGCAGCATATGCAGCAGCACTGCGATCTGCTGCTGAGGCTGCTGCAGCAAAAGCAGCAGCTGCTGCTAAAGGGCTTGCTGCTGCAGCAGAAGGAGAAGGAATTGCTGCTGCTGCTGCTGCTGCACTCGATACAGCAGCAGCGCAGCAGCTGCAGCAGCTATCCAGGGACCCGCAGCTCCACCAGCTGCTGCAGCAGCTGCAGCAACTCGCAGAGAAAAACGTACGCTGCTGTTGCTGCTGCTGCTGCTGCTGCTGGTGCAATTACTGTTGCTGCTGCTGCTGCTGGTCTTGCTGCTGTTGCTGCTGCTAATAGATAGTAGTTTGCTGCTGCTGCTGCTGCTGCTACTGGAGCTGTGGCTGTGCTGTAGAATCAACTACTGCTGCTGTTGCAGCAGCAGCNGCTGCTGCTGCTGCTACTGGAGCTGTGGCTGTGCTGTAGAATCAACTACTGCTGCTGTTGCAGCAGCAGCTGCTGCTGTTGCTGCTGCTGCTGCTGCTGCTGCTGCACAGTGACGGTGTTATTTGGGTTGCTGCTGCTGCCGTCTGCTGCAGCAGACACCAGCAGCAGCAGCAGCAGCAGCAGCTTTTACCAGCACCAGAAGCAGCAGCTGCAGCTGCTGCTGCTGCAGGAGACCCCACAACCAGCAGCAGCAGCAGCAGCAGCAGCAGCAGCAAAGTGTTTGTGTGTGTGTATAAAACAGGACGATGAGCCCCTGAAGAAGGTTGCTG